AGCATGGGGTGGGGCAGCTAAAAATCGTGTAAGCTCAATATTCACTGCACAGAAGTACTGTCTGAGGGTCTTGTTTGGTGATAGAGCAGCCTACCTGGATAAATTCAAAACGTGTGTTCGAACCAGACCATTTACTGACCAGAAACTTGATAGTAAATTTTATAAAAAGGAGCACACTAAACCTCTGTTTAAAAACAACGAGATACTCACTGTACAAAATCTTTATACTTACCATAGCTACATAGAATTATTCAAGATCATGAAGTTTTCTACTCCTATGTCTATGTACGAAGAGTATTCTCGTTCTTCCAGGAAACCAATGCTTATTATCAATAAACCGGATCCCCCAGACAACCATAACACGAGGTCAACGAAAATATGGAATATAATAACCCCTAACCTTAAAATCTTTGATTGTTCTGTTAGTATTTCTTGCCTGAAATCCAAACTGAAATCTTCACTACTTTCCAACCAGCATTGTCATGCCGTGTATGACTGGACAAATAAAGACTTTGATATATGTAACCTTAAATTTTCGTAGGCTCCTGCAGGGATTCCACCTGACCTCCAAAATTTCATGACCAAATCGACTTACTCTGCCAGCGTATTCCTCTGTCAAGTTAAATGTGATGTGTGAGTGAGTAAGTGTAGTGTAAAGATATCCTATTTTTGTATCCAATTTGAATTCTAATAAAGACCCTAAGCATTATGATCAAATTTTTAGTACAATAGTTATATCAGGGTTGACATCTATGATTAATATTATAACCCAATATTCATTTCTTTTTCTCCCTTAAATTTAAACCCCTCTTAGACATTAAGCCATGATTTAGTATTGAACACCCAAAATACTTACCGTCCTTAATAATCGTAAAGACCATTTGTTACAAAATAGCTGCTAGAATAATGCATGCCAAATATTCCCTCTTACACCCACAAATTATAATGCCTTCCTATCAACGCCTCTAATTTGGTCACTAATCAACCAGACTAGCGTTATGGTGTGTACAAAAGCTACCAGCCAGTACATTCCTTGCCCCGCTAGTTGATTGTCAAAAAATCATACAGCTCAGAACAAACGGCCATTTACCACTAAGAGCATTATATGTTTTCATTTGTTTAAATTTTATGCTGTAAAATGTGCTAAAACTTTGATTATTTGTTTAATTGATTATTTGTTTAATTGAATCTTGTATCATGTCGTGACCCCCACGGTCGTTTCACTATGGCATGGTGTAGAGTTTCTACGATACAGGGGGAGCCGTTCACCTAATTTCATGTGCTTTCGCAACACTGCAGTTACCTGGGGACCCCAGGCTATTATGTTCATTAACATAGAGATTAGGCGGAATGACAGGCTGAGCGCGGCCCAGTAAGTATTGTTAAATTTAAAATTAATAAAATGACCCTAAGAAACAAAAATGGTGACAGATTAAATTGTGAAACTAAATTTATGTTTAATGCGTGCCGCGCTTGTTATGTCATACGTTGTATGACCCGCCGCTCCCCCGCGACCGTGGGGGTCCGGTCATCACGTGATACAATGCCGCGCATATTCGAAACAATTGACACCGTGTAATTATATGCTACCTACCATTTAAACGTTAAGTTAAAATCGAGCGTTATATGTTTCGTATCTTTGTCAAAATACCTTGCCTACAATTTAAAAGGCTTACTGTTTCATTTTGAAAATATGTCAGACTAAATGTTGGTGTATTACATTTTTAGATTTAAGTCGATGTTTGAAAATTTCCATAACCCTCTAATGATATGGCATAGTCCCATTATTTATACCGATGACCCTTATTTTTTACAACATGTTATATTATCCATGTTTTACTTACACAAAATTTGGATGCTTTAGTATCCTGTTATCAAAAACAGTTGAGTAATGCCTTTCCAATGTCACCACACTTATTTGCTTCATATGTGATTGGCATTTTAAATTTAAACGATTTTGTATATTGTTGATGTTATATTGCTTAGTTTCCACCTATTGCTTAGGTTCCACCTTATTGGTTGTTAATGTGTTAAATCCATACTTCGAATACTGAAAGAGTTTTTGAGATACCAATATAATTGTATGGAATTTGATTTGATTAGATCCTACCTGTAAGTGGTACCATAGTAATGTAGCTTTATTGTGAGTGACGTTTTTTAGGCTGAAATTGTAACAGAGAAAACTAGGATTGAAAAATATTAAGATACAATATTATGAGCACGTTCGAAAAGAAATGTTTTCAGATACACTTTAAGTCCAATGTTGTACAATTCTTAATCTCAAATGGAAAAGAATATTCAAACAATATACACATAATATAGCAATGGCCAATTGGCTGACTATAAGGTCATGGCCTGAACAAACAATTTTTTTAAATAGTCAAGTGATGCTAAAGCAGAGCACAAATGTGTAATAAGTTAATAGATAAAAATACTGATTCAATGATTAAAATTGTAACTGAAGATCAAATGCAAATCATCGTACAATCTCTTGTTATTAGTTCCCTTGACTACTGCAATGCACTTTACTATGGTACTAATCATTCTGTTTTGAAACAGCTACAATCTCTGCACAACAGAGCATGTCGCTTAGTTAAAGGTCTAAAGAGGAGAGAAGAAGTTGAGCCCTACATAAAAGAACTTCATTGGCTCAAGGTACAAGAACGTATTGAATTTAAAATACTCCTGCTAACTTTCAAACTGCTCCATGGACTAGCACCTTCATACCTGTCAAACCTTGTCAAGTACAATCCCAGTGGTGGCAGAGATGTGTCTCTTCATTGCCCTATAAACAGCCCACCAAGAGCCTTCTCTTCATCTGCTCCAAGATTATGGAACAACCTTCCTCAAGAAATTAGGAAATGTGTAAACATCAATGACTTTAAGGGAAAACTAAAAGCTCATCTGTTTAGAAAGTCCTTTGATATGTACTGAGTAAATAATACATTATCAGAAGATTTTTAAAATCTTCATCCTATAGCAGGTCAATTTTACGCTTTAAATTAAATTATTTTAGGCTACTAATTTTTCAGGATTTTCGGGCAACATTCGAGATATTATTCTTTTCCGTGTTTCACTGTGTCTGCCAACAAAATTGTAGTGTAGGTCAGAAAAGGAGGCTCTATCCCGGGACACCAACATTTTTTGGGTTGGCACCCAGGAGAAAGCTGCCTTATTCTTTGTATTTTGTCTCAAGTATTTTAGCATCTTCTACCACTCTGTTTATTTCACCGTCTCTAGACTTGTATGTTGCCCAGATAATTTGACATGACTGTATTGGATTTTCTGTAACATCAGTTACTGTTCTGCAGTAAGCTTTTTTAATAATTTTGTATTGTATATTGAAGTATTCAGATTGTTTGTATATTTGGAGTCTATAGAATTTCTATAGAATTTTTATAGAATTTTTAATATTTTAGGGAATTTCATTCTTATTATCCTGATTTTTACATTTGATAGGCTGATGAGTTTCATACTGTGATTTCTTGCAGTCATCATCCTTTCCTCAAGTCCTCTGTTAGAAAACCTGCTAAGCCTGCTTGTTAGGTGCATCTGCCTTATCTAGTGACGATTTTATTTACAGTTTTTAACGTCTGTTTTCTGAACAGTTTCTTGTTTCACCTAAGGCAAAGATGCACACTCTCGTTAACTTAAGTATCATTTACAGCTGAGCATAAGGGTTGAATTTAAATTATTTAACCTTTTGGTGCTGTATAAAAATAACATTAATTTATTATAAAGGGTCTCAATAAGAGGTCTCGACTGCCTAGGCGTCAAACCTTGGCAGTCGGTAGTTTTCCTCTGGCCCGGGATCAGCTGACCCTAGGGACCAGAGGGTAAAGGTGTAGAGACTATGTGTATCTACAAATCTTTCGAGGTTGTTTTTACAAGAGACAGGGCTTGCTACGCAAGGGAAGAAAACCGGGAGAAACAATCACAAATTATACAAATAAATATTATAAAACCTAGCAAAAAGAAATTCAAACAATCCTACACTACTACAAATGTTTATTACATACTACAATGTAATACACGATAAATAAATGCTGTATAATCAAGAAACAGGGCTTGCAGGGCAAGGGACAATTTATTATTATTATTATTAACCGTATTCTAATGGCATTCGGGTAGAGCAATTAAGGGCAAATAACTCTAGTAAGCATGGCATTTAATTCTATTACGTACCTGATGGCATTTGGCAGTCATTTATTGTGAAATTTGTATTTCTGTTAATTACATTTATGATTTATGTTTCTTTCATGGATGTGTGTAACATTGCCTATTGCCACCCCCTCCCCCTTGCCGAAAAATCGTCCCCCTGATGGTGCCCCCTCCCCTCTTAAAGTAGAAACGTAATATTGGACAAATTAGGTGATTTAAGTGGATACGCCGGTAAAATCTCTAAAAAAGTGTGTTTCTAGATCAAAACGCACAGTTTTGCTAGCAGGGTCGGCATAGCCCTTTTTCACACCACTGCTAATGCTACTGATTACCCCATGGGGAACTCCAACCCACATTTTTTCTGCTCATGAACACATCATTTTCCATTTTGGATCCTGTCACTATCCATGATTGCAGCTCTACTCTCAAAACACATTTTTTGTTCCTCTAAAAAGATTTGTTTCTCAGCTCTTTTACTTTTGATTGCAAATCAACTGGGCCCAAACAAAACATTTAGAAGATCATGCTCACACACAAACGAAAGGGACTTTTTCACTTCTGATCATTACTGATCAAGCAGTTGATTGAAATGATAATATGAATGATCATATTAATATTCTATTAAGATTGCATTTGGTTGACAGTTATTTTCAATTTGAAATATTCAGTGTGATAGATACTGACTGACCTAATGATTTAAGGTATTCAGTATTCTAGTGTTTTTGTCACAGCTGTGCACATTGCACAAGAATCAGTTTCAAATCACTGATCTATTAAAGCTGTAGCAACTTAAATGACAAATTCCCTTTTTCATTAACATTCATTTTTTCACTAGAAGGTTTGCATGTGATGAATATACCAGGGACAAGATATGAAGGCCCTCTTGAAAGAAAGACTAATAAGGTAAAAACTGTCAATGGCAAATTATAAAGTAGATGATTCTTGATAATTCCATTGATAGGTTAAGTTCCAGGCTTTAAACTGATTACCTATAAGAGTGTAAGGCAGTAATCAAATAAGGAGTGACAATTTTACTCACAACAACATCAGTCTGGTACAAAATCATTATTCATAATATTATTTCAGTGGAAGGAATACCACGTTGTGTTGAGCAATGGACAGCTGTTATTCTACAAAGATAAAACTTCCGATGTAAGTATAGCGCAATGAAAACATCAATAAAATATATCAGTTAATGTTTCTTTTGTCAATCAATGTACCTAAAATGTACCTTACATATTTGACAACACTTTTTACCCATAGCCTAGAGACGGACTGCTTGGAACCCTGAAATTGAGTGTAACAACGTTCTGTAACTCCTCCTCTGGAGTCCTGACTCGAGGTTATCAGTTCAGCGTCTCTACACCTGACATAGAGGCTCATCTTAGGGTAAGAACATTTCCTTTATTTCACAACTAATAGCATAACATTTAATGTACATCGATTAAAAAAAATGCTAGGCCATGACGGATAATGTACATTTAAAAGCACATTAAATAATTAAAGTAAGTGTAATGTGTATTGTATATTGGCTCAGCTTTTAATCTTCCATTATCTAGATAACCGTTTATACTACTTTAAATTTTACCCAGAAAATTCTGAACTTAAATTGATCTCCATTGTATAGACATTAGGCTGCACGTTTTAGAATTAAGTGCTACAGTACACTTGGTATTGCACATGAATAGTGAATACCGAATACCCGTGTTCAATGTACATATTGTTATACCCCTGGCAGCTTGTTTGATTGTAATAGATCACTCTAATTAAGTTGACCGCACTTATCATGATCGAAGCAATTGTTATTGTACATATTATATACCAAACATGTCTTCATTTAATGTAACCTCTGGTATTGCTCGGTACATGTAACGTTAGCCTGTAACTTGTAGTAGATATATATTGAAAAGGAAACCTGACGTTGTCTCTAGTACGATTAGTTTCCGGAAAATATCAGTGTCCTAGATCTCAGGGGGCATTATATAAATAGTTTTATTGTGTAATTAGATACCAAACTGCAGTTAGCTATCCGGTGTGTTTGTGTGTGTGATTCCCACCGGATATAATACTCTGAAATATTGTGCCATTACCACGTACCACTACCACTTTCTTAGCTGGAACAAGTTTAAGAATATTCCAGAAAAAGTTTAAGAATATATCAGAACCTCTTCCGGCTTCCCGAATATTCCCATTCCTGTTTTATAAGCTATGAATTAAGCTCTTAGTATTCCATAGATAATATCCATAAATAATTTACTTAGGTTGTCATTGGGATCAAACCTGACGTTTTGTCTGAAACTAGTCACAAGTCTAATATATATAAGAAAGACAGTAAAATCTTTGATAAATTGAAAATTGAGTCGAATGATTCAATATGTATATATTGTAGTATGTACACAGCAGCATCAATACTAATTACTTAGTAGCTCTATGATTACTCCAGTAGCAGGGAGGAGTTGAGTGTGCACTTCGATGTATAGAGTTTTTTGCTGCTGAATCGGGTTAAATAGGTCATTGGTAACTCAAAAAATCGAGGGCCGCATGTTGTGTCGCTAGTCCCAACCCTGTGGAGCCACGCCCATATTTCATATCAGGTGCGTATATGGGAAATATGTATCTCAGCTTCTGAAGGTCTTAGAGACTCAAACTTGAGTTTAAAATGACCGCAATGCACATGTTTATATTGGTACTATGAAGGTCATGAAAGCCCAAAATGCTTATTTTTGGAAAAAATTCAGAAAAACCAATTTTCACTTGGGCGCGAGTAAAAAAATCTACACTAGAAATTGAGTGAAAATCGAGTAAGCAGTTCAGTGTCTACAACATTTCTAAACACAGGGTCCTCTGTTAGGTCATTCTAAATCAGAATTGATAAAGTAATCAAATTCTATTAGTAGTTTTAACCCTGTGGAGCCACGCCCATATTTCATGTTATGTGCGAATATGGGAAATTTGTATCTCAGCTTCTGAAGGTCTTAGAGACTCAAAGGTGGGCTTAAAATGACCGCAATGTACATGTTTATATTGGCACTATGAGGGTCATGAAGGCCCAGAATGCTTATTTTTTGAAAAAATTCAGTAAAACCGATTTTCACTTGGGCGTGAGTAAAAATCGACTCTTAGAAGTTAAGTGAAATCGAGTATGAAGTTCAGTGTCTGCAACGTTTCTAAACACAGGATCCTTTGTAAGATAATTCTGAATCAGAATTGATAAGGTACGCAAATTCTATTAGTAGTTTCAACTCGGCTTCTGAAGTTCTGAACGTTGTAGGGGCCTCTTTTTGAGCTCAAACTAACTACGATGGCCACATTTATATACCAACTGTAAAGAACCGTAGGGTCTATACTCTATAGTGCTTAGTTTTTAAAAACTCATTAAAAACTGTTTTAACCTTCATGCATCATAAAGTAGTAACATCAAACATGTAATTAATTATGGTATCTCGGGCTAAAAAAGTCTTATAGACATTTGCAGCACAGTAAAACGTTCAACATGAACACATTCGGATAACATTTATGGAGCAGCACATACCACCTAACTCTAATTTTGGTATAACTGCGAAAATACTCAGTTTCAGAAGCTCCTTCCAGCTATCTTAGGCTGCCTTCAGCTCCCTCTCTGGGGCTCTCTCCAGTACTGCTTGGCTATTATGACTAATCAACTTGAATCCAACCTCATGTAGCAGAATCTACTTCTAGCTACCTTCTGCTAACTCCATGTCAACTCTACCCAGCTACCACCACCAGTACGTTATAATTTTAGATCTTTCTAGCAACCTCTGATATGAGTGCTACCTCTTCCTCTATCCAGCTACTATACCACCAGATGGCAGAAACCACCAATTCCAGCTGTTTTCACCTACTTCGGCTACCTCTATTTAGCTACCACCAAGGTTCCTCCAACTTCTGCTATTTCTAGCAACCTTAGCTTAAGCTAGTGGGCTACTTCTTGCCCTGTCTAGCAACCATCAGTAACATTTTATTCTGGCGTTTAGAGGTTGCTAGAAACAGCAAATTTCCTCTTCCTTAATGAGCTGGAAATTGTTGGATGCAGCAGAGAAAGCACTCATATCAGAGGTTGCTAGAAAGATCGAAAATTATAACGTACTGGTGGTGGTAGCTGGGTAGAGTTGACATGGAGTTAGCAGAAGGTAGCTAGAAGTAGATTCTGCTACATGAGGTTCGATTCAAGTTGATTAGCCATAATAGCCAAGCAGTACTGGAGAGAACCCCAGAGAGGGAGCTGAAGGCAGCCTAAGATAGCTGGAAGGAGCTTCTGAAACTGATTATTTTCGCAGTTATACCAAAATTAGAGTTAGGTGGTATGTGCTGCTCCATAAATGTTATCCGAATGTGTTCATGTTGAACGTTTTACTGTGCTGCAAATGTCTATAAGACTTTTTTAGCCCGAGATACCATAATTAAGTACATGTTTGATGTTACGACTTTATGATGCATGAAGGTTAAAACAGTTTTTAATGAGTTTTTAAAAACTAAGCACTATAAAGTATAGACCCTATGTTGCTTTACAGTTGGTATATAAATGTGGCCATCGTAGTTAGTTTGAGTTCAAAGAGAGGCCCCTACAACGTTCAGAAGCCGAGATAGAAAAGTCATTATATATTTGCGCCTGGGGGTAATTTAGGAGTTTTGCACCCTAGGGTTGAAACTAGTAATAGAATTTGATTACTTTATCAATTCTGATTTAGAATGACCTAACAGAGGACCCTGTGTTTAGAAACGTTGCAGACACTGAACTTCATACTCGATTTCACTTAACTTCTAAGAGTCGATTTTTACTCACGCCCAAGTGAAAATCGGTTTTACTGAATTTTTCCAAAAAATAAGCATTCTGGGCCTTCATGACCCTCATAGTGCCAATATAAACATGTACATTGCGGTCATTTTAAGCCCACCTTTGAGTCTCTAAGACCTTCAGAAGCTGAGATACAAATTTCCCATATTCGCACATAACATGAAATATGGGCGTGGCTCCACAGGGTTAAAACTACTAATAGAATTTGATTACTTTATCAATTCTGATTTAGAATGACCTAACAGAGGACCCTGTGTTTAGAAATGTTGTAGACACTGAACTGCTTACTCGATTTTCACTCAATTTCTAGTGTAGATTTTTTTACTCGCGCCCAAGTGAAAATTGGTTTTTCTGAATTTTCTCCAAAAATGAGCATTTTGGGCTTTCATGACCTTCATAGTACCAATATAAACATGTGCATTGCGGTCATTTTAAACTCAAGTTTGAGTCTCTAAGACCTTCAGAAGCTGAGATACATATTTCCCATATACGCACCTGATATGAAATATGGGCGTGGCTCCACAGGGTTGGGACTAGCGACACAACATGCGGCCCTCGATTTTTTGAGTTACCAATGACCTATTTAACCCGATTAAGCAGCAAAAAACTCTATACATCGAAGTGCACACTCAACTCCTCCCTGCTACTGGAGTAGATGTTCGTGTGTCAGACTCGTTTATAATTCTGTATCTACACTAATCTTAATAGATCGCAATCAAATAATGGATTACGTCAGCAGTTTCAAAAGTTAAACTTCTTGCTAGATGCACATTTTTGATGTTGTCAAACAACATCAGATTATATAATTCTAAAATTGAAACCGAATTTTCGAGATATTTTCAAGACAAACTACCATCGAACATGAAATTTATCTGTAGAAAAAAACATGCATATTTAAGGGGGCATCTATAAGTATATTATAAGTATAGTATACATCGTAGTAACTATTAACGCCACCCACATCGTAGTAACTATAACCGCCACCCACATCGTAGTGACTATAACCGCCACCCACATCGTAGTAACTATAACCGCCACCCACATCGTAGTAACTATTACCGCCACCCACATCGTAGTGACTATAACCGCCACCCACATCGTAGTGACTATTACCCACTGTCTTGTAGTTGTTATGTCACCGGGTGATGTAACATTAGACCCTCTCTATGCATTTGTTAATAGTTGTCGTGAAGGCAGCAAGTTAACCTCACTACTATACATTGCCTTGTACTGTTGCTATTATTAGAATGTTATATGGAAAGTTTTAACTCTTGCATGAACCTTCAGTTGTGTGGGGAGCCTATTCTAGCTCAGGATTTACTTACTTAATAACATAATTTTATTACTTTACTTCTTTACTTACTTTATTACTTTACGTTCTTAATTACTAACATAACTTTATTTCAGTCTAACACGGCCGATCAAAGGGACAAATGGATTAAAGAAATAATGGGATCTGTTACAGAGGTAAGAATCTATTCTTGGCTCGTCTCTTTCGATTTTGTGCTAGAGAAAATCTTAACTGCACCACTGTAAATTGGCATGTTATGTTTTTATGGTATGTACTCGCATTTTTAAGATAATGATATAATATATTTGATTATGTCATTCAAAAAAACAAAATTACAAAGTGCAATATGTTGGATATAGGCAGTAAAAGTAAAAACTACAAAGTACTGTTATCAGTAAGATAAGGCTCAGTGTTAAGTGCCAGGTGACGATGGTTGCTTGAGGTACCCTGACGCACACGGGAACCCGCCGTCTGGTTTGGTTAATTCAAGGTCGGATTTTGGTTGGTATTTGGTAAACTTTAGGTCGGGTTTAGGTTATTTTTAGATAGGGACAAGTCGGGTCACCGTGTGGCATGATATATCAAACTTGCTGCACAATAATTATATTCATAACTAGAGAGTCAGTTGGCGTTCAACTGGAATGGTCTCGACTTTTCCAGATTCATTATATAAGGACATAATATGTTATTATGTTAGTATTGAATGAAATGTTGCAATTTCGGGAATTTCACTCCGAATTCTGTTGCTAAGATCATGTCTCTAAATATCATTGAAGTGCGTATTAAGATTGTTATTCAGCGTCAGATCTTTAAAATCTATCGTCACCTTGTGACAAGCGGTACCCTGGGTACTACTGAAAATGATCACGATCCGAGTATATAATATCATGATCCAATAGTTAAATACTCACTCACTTCAGGACAGCTTTGTACACACACTCGGCCCTGTTACATTGCGTAATTCTCTTCCTCCCCACTTCACTCTTTCAACAATGATCACCTGTAATATATCGCTTCCTGGCGGCCCAGCAGTATTAATGCGCGTTTACATGGTAATTTCTAGATCAACGGACTTAAATAATTCTCTCAGTTCACCGCTACCTCATTTGTGTAAGAATTGACATTAATCACGCGATCCACTTTCACTGTGTGTCGTATATTGACAAAGGAAGGAGAAAGCTTAGAGACCTGAACAAATGATACGGTATAATGTAACATCTGTGAATGGAGTTACGCGCTAAAAGTGGGGTGTAGTTACACTCTGTTTGTAGCCATGTGGCCTGCTGGTTACTCCACCCTCCCCTCCACACATAGCTACATGTAACTATGACATAATCTCAGTCACAGCCGTGATGATCCTCATAATAGCAGTACTATACAGAGAGAGAGAGAGAGAGAGAGAGAGAGAGAGAGAGAGAGAGAGAGAGAGAGAGAGAGAGAGAGAAGAGAGAGAGAGAGAGAGAGAGAGAGAGAGAGAGAGAGAGAGAGAGAGAGAGAGAGAGAGAGAGAGAGAGAGAGAGAGAGAGAGAGAGAGAGAGAGAGAGAGAGAGAGAGAGAGAGAGAGAGAGAGAGAGAGAGAGAGAGAGAGAGAGAGAGAGAGAGAGAGAGAGAGAGAGAGAGAGAGAGAGAGAGAGAGAGAGAGAGAGAGAGAGAGAGAGAGAGAGAGAGAGAGAGAGAGAGAGAGAGAGAGAGAGAGAGAGAGAGAGAGAGAGAGAGAGAGAGAGAGAGAGAGAGAGAGAGAGAGAGAGAGAGAGAGAGAGAGAGAGAGAGAGAGAGAGAGAGAGAGAGAGAGAGAGAGCGAGAGAGAGCGGTAGAGAGCGAGAGAGAATCATTGCTCGTACTAAATTTACAGGTATAAGAGTTCCTGTAAACTTTATAACGTGACTACCCCCTCCATGTGACCATCCCCCCATATAATATAATATGTTTTATATAATGTTTAAGCAGTGTAATTATTCAAATTCCTTTTAAGGTTTTAAAGTAGGGTAAAGTTGAAACATGAATGTTGGGCTACACACATACAGCGACCACCTCCCTCCCGTGCTTTGTTCGCTGTACTATATGTTAAACAAAAGTTTAATTTCTCTAGCTATACGTAATTAGGAGTCATTAAACAAAATAGTCACATCGAATTCTGCAAACTTTCTCGCTGAAAATTGCTACTCAGAAATAGACTCTCTTCACGATTCTAACAGCATTCCAAATATCAAATTTCTCAGTTATTTATGGGGCACACTTAAAGTTTGAGACGCCACGCATACCGGTGAAAAGGTCCTGTACTCTGTAAAGCTGTAATGGCAGTGTTAAAGGGCACAGGATCAGGTATCCTACAGGGGATTACTGGACAATTTATATCAGGACATGTCATGAGTAGTGTGAGCATGGGCCCTTCATGTAAGACACAGTATTGTGTGTACATTGTACGCTCTAATACACTCTAGTAAACTATGTACATTGTACACTGGAGAATGTGCGATCTTATTCCCGTCTAGGCTAGTGTAATTTGACTCCTAGTCGTGGATGTAGTTGTATGTTTCTTTCTACACGCCAGCTAGATTTCACAGTAAGATTATAACTAAATTCTAGGAAAGAAGTTAATGTTCTAGGTTAATATTAATGGAGAATATTCTCCGTGCCGCAATTAAATGGAAATTATCGATATAAACTTTTCTGACCTAATTACATTCTATATTGTGAGCACGCAAATATATTGAAGAGAAGATTCTCGAAAAATCGCAGAAATATTTACTAACTAAGCAACAACGCATTATCCACTGAATTTTCACCATGGAATTTCTAAACTTACCATTTTCCAAGAGCAATTTGTCCTTTCCGGTGTACAAATAACAAAGGTTTCCTTTCAAAATATACACACACGCGAGTGTAGGATGTGTAATGTACTTTTAACACACAAGTCAGTGTGTGACAATTACTGTGACAACTTCAACCAGAAAGTATCTGCGAAGAAAGTGTTAACTCTCTTTTATTAACCTGTATGAGAGACTGTAATCACACTGTACTATTTGTCTCCCAATATTTACAGCATATTGATTAACCAGGAAAACAGCTATTTATAATTTACTACGTGTATTTGTGAGCTGTAATGTCCCGAGAATAATTCGATAAGATGTTTATGACATTCCAGTATATATAGGAAGTTGATTGAGATATTGTAGTAAATAATAAATGTAACTAGATCGAGATGAAGTGCGAATGTTTTTCACTACTCGAGAATCAACATACCATAACTATGTCTTGTATGCAAATAATGCAGACTATGATGACATTTATATTGACGGAAAGTGTGGTGAGGCCCTAGAGGGATAAATGTTACAAATCCTTTTAAAAATACTATTTGAAAGGTTTAAAAGGAACTCAGATCCGTGTTAAAGTTTAAACATTGCATATTCCACATATCGTTAGTCTTCAAACACTGGTCCAGTCAACAGGGGAGTTGTTGTTAGGGGGCTCTCTGACTCTCTGTTATTAAGAATGACAATTCTTACAAAATCAGAGAAACAAGTTGTTGAAACCATTTAACACTTTAAGACTTTTTAACACCTTTTTTCTCTGTTACTATTGGCATAAAGAATCCACATTCCACAAGAGCTGCTTTAAAGGATTAAAGTTTCAACAGAATTGCCACGATGTAATGGTCACGAATAAAATGATAATTTCCAACAGTTTTATCGGTTTCATCTAATTATGTTCATGTATTGGTAACATGTTATGTTACATCCTAATGAAATCTAGCGACTATGCAATGACATCTTTAAATCGATGTCAGCACTGTTAAGATTGGAAAATTGTATCATACCCATTTAAAAAAATGTCTCGCATTATAACGTAAAAATCAATATAATTTAGCGTTTTTTATTTCATTAATATCTTTTAAGTATTTAGATAGGCTGAAGATATATTGAAGAACGCACTTCAAACGTTCAAGATGACATAAAATGAACCTTTAGCTGATCGCATTCTGTATTAGAACTGTTAGTGAATAGATATAAGTTTCAGCCAAATGTAGAGGTATCCCGTATCAACCACCGAGTATGAGACCATTCCGAAATTGTTCGGGGCTTCTTCAATGCAATGATGATTGATTAATGCTCTCTTTGCCTTTTTGGAGTGCAGTCATGGTATCTTTAGCAATTCCACTAGGTAAAATACATATGAATTTCCAAGAAAAATGTTGTGCAACTTGTTTGTTTTTATGGTTGGGATGCATCCCATCAATAGAAGGGTTAATCTGTATCAAGTCTTCTTGAGATCCAGAAAAGCAGAAAGCAAAAATTTGTGCTGCCATGGTGACCTATTTTATGAGTCTATCAAGTATTAGCATTCAGCAATCATCACTGATGATCAAACACGTGGGCGCACCCAGGCACCCTATACTCTAAAATAGTCATAATCTCACTCTCCTTTCTGCACGGTGGAGTACTGTCTTGTCACGTGTTCGGTATTTATTAAGGTATGTAGTTAGAAGCGTGACAAACTTACCCTCGCTTGCTAAACATAACAGTTGAAACAACAATGATACTAGTCATACTTCCTAGGGACATCCCTATTCTTAGGGATATTCTCATTCCAGGACATTTTTCAAACCTCCTCACTGTTCTAAAAATTCAAGGTTAACATATTTCCACACAAAAATAGAGAATCAAAATAAGCCATTTACTGTATATTTGATACATAAGTCGCTTCACAAACTAATGCCACTTTCACCCTGCTTTTGGTCCGTGCCTAGAGATGTGCCACAACAGGACTATTATCTGGAACCCCTAGACTACTTAGTGTAATAAACCTGATAAAACCTGTCAAAGATAGTGTTTATACTACATCCCTTATAATTGTACTCAACCGCTCACATATCATGCTAAACGAATCATTGGCCTTTATTATAATCTCACCATTCATATTATAAACTCGGCATGCTTACTATAATATAGATTAACATATTGTATTTTCTCACTCAGGGCAGCCTGATTTCTTGGCACTAAGACCAGGCTTGTTGAATGTTGATCAGATGATATCGAATTTTAGCTCAAATGTCATGCTTTCAAGTCATTTTACCCCGCGATTATAATTAATGACGAGTGAGGTCACGGTTCAGTTTAGGTATGATTTGTAAGAACTAGCCTCGTTAAGAAAAGTTGATTCCGCTTCTGGGTTGGTG